ATGGTTAACAAGGTAGATCTAAATCCAATATTGTCATTTATGCAAAAACTTAAGCAAACTCTGAATGACAGTACTTACACAGATTTAATTCTAGCTGTTCAGGAAAATACATGAAATTAATTCTGGCTGATGATAAGGGGTAAAGAACATGGTAACTGAGAAGCAGAATGGCAGCTTTGCACCACTGGAGTAAGATCAGCAGTATTCTTTAATGAGATATGGAACAACGTCAGTTACTTTTACAACACAATATGGACCTATCAAAGTTGCCCCAACCTCTATCCTATTGACTATCTATTCATCCTTCAAATTGATGAGTGTAACTTTCGGCTACTCAATTCAGTTTGCTTCTGTTTCAACACGAATATACAAGTATATATTGTGGTTTGAAATAGGCGTTCACCCTTGCTCCACAATGAAGCCCAGTACTTCCAACTTCAGCATGGGAAGAGTTGTGGAAGGGGAACTGTAGAACTATGGCAGCTTCCGGTGGAAATCCAGCTCAGGCATCCTGGCTTGGTACATCTGCGGAGTGGTCACTGTTCTGGCTTCATGATTGGCTCTCTAACGGCTCACCCTCTCTTGCCAATTCAATGTGTCCAGCCATCCTCTGGTACGATGCCTGTTTTGAGGTCAACATTTTACAGTGAAAAAATCTACGATAGCAATCAACATTTTTTTGAACATTTAAATTTGAAAAACTTTAAAGAAAATTAACAAAAGATATCTCAAACTGAATTTTGTTTTCTAAAAATAAAACTGTCCAAACATTTGGGATGAACCTTCATCACAAAAAAGTTCACCAAATTACTTTTATACATATATATATAGTCGATATAGTCAGACTGAATACTCGCACAAACTTGTGCCTTGAAAAGCAGCAGCTCCAACAAACAAATACAAGAAAACAAAACAAAAAACATTTTAATCTGTCCCTCATTCACCTCTGCCCTAATTATCAACTCCTACGATATACAGTTCCGGTCTTTTTGTGTGGCGTCAGTGGCTTAGTGGTTGAGCTCTCGGACTCGCAACCGTTAGGTCGTGGGTTCGAATCCCATCAGGGGCCCGTCGTGGTGTCCTTGGGAAAGGCACTTTGCACAAATTTTCCTCACTTCACCCAGGTGGGAATGGGTACCCGGCTATAGACAGTGAACGATCTTGTCAGTTTGATAGTGTTTGAGCGCGTGAAATCCACAGCTTGCACTGTATGCTTCCGCGGAAGCCTAGTATGTTTCTGAGAGTTCTCAGAGGGTCTGCTGGGGTAATAATGTGTAAAGCGCATAGAGCATGCTCTTGAGCATGGATATGCACTATATAAATGCAATTATTATTATTATTATTATTTTTGCTCCCTACCCTTTTCCCCTAAATATTAGTTGTCTCTATACCCTTACTACAAATGAAACTAATTATCAAACGAGTACATACTTGACAGGCCATACATACGACAGGTTACAAAACCAAAGTTTGTGTTGGAGAGAGAGATTTTTGTTTGAGTAAAGAGAAGCACAACAACACAATAATGGTCATTTAGTGCTGGAAAAAAGTAAGACAGACAGAAAAAACATAGGGACAATACAGAAGTAGTATCTACTAGTCAATGGCACCCTCCAACCACCCACAAGGGG